ACGCTACGATTAAATAGAGTCGATAGAGTAGCTTGTGTAGATATAATTATGTATTTGAATACATAAGTCTAATGTTTTTGTTCGGGACAAGCCCATGTCTGCTAAAGACTATAATCTATCTCTGTGGTGACTTTAAGGGAGATCTCTATAGATATTTTAGTGTTTTCAAGTTACAAATATAATTAGATTTTTTTATGCAATAGTAGAGAATGAAGCACACGTTTTTCTTTATGGTGAGCTATCAACGCCACCCATAGACAGATCAGCGGATATCTGAGTGCATTAGCAGCAGTCTTTTAAAAAGAGGAACACTTATGTCCTCAAGATTAGAAGGACGTAAACACAAAAAAAACATATATACGGTCGAATTGAGAACCTCTTTGGAAACCTTTTTGGAAGTCGGTTAAAAAGGTAAGTGTGGGAGAGCCATGCTTCGGCACGAATGGGTCAGCTCGATCGGAGTGATACCACGGCCTCATAGAAAACCGGCGTGAAACTACCAAAGCGTTGTTTCGCGCTGTGAGCGAGGTTACCGGAGGCCCAATCCTTCCCCTCCCCTAATCCCTCAAAGGTTGGCAACGCACTCGTCACTCCTTCGTTGCGGGTGTCCATGGGCGGCGCTGATTGCTTACCATCAGGTAATCCGTCTGCTCGTTTGCCGACCTATTACATAAAAAAAACTTTAAAAAATAACTACCTAGCTAAAACAGAATAATACGCCATTTTCTCTTCTCCTAAGACAATTTAACTATTTACTCGAACTGATAATAATAGGATATATTGTATTGTTGACCACCTATTAGAATAAACGTGAACATTGACCGTGACTTGAAATAAATACAAACATTATATCCATTTAGTAATACAATTTCAACTCTATTTCTTCAGTATACGGTACAAATGTGACTGCAAACGTTTGAGAATTAAGGATATCTTCATAAGCTGCTGTACAAGAGTCATGAACATGCGTTTAAAGAAAAAAAGGGGTTAGCTAATCTTCAACACGTCCGTCAGGTCAAAAATTCCTTGAAATTGTGATTAAACTGGTTCCGTAAATTGAGGGTAAAAAAAACTTTGATAGGTGTAGAACTTTGCTGTACCCTCGATTTTATTACTTTTTTAGTGACCAAAGGTTTATAAGAAAAACTTTGATAGTTCTTTGAGCTTATAAAAGAGATTTCTGTTTCGCAGTCCCTTAAATATCAGATATACCTTCTATTTGATCAAACCTTAAGCGAACGCCGGCGTTCGTGCACTTTTTGTTCTTCTATTGTCTCGAACTACCACGATTGAAATGTTAATAAGTACAAATTATTAATTGCAGATTATAACTCAATGAAAAATTAATCTCTACATAGTAAAATTCAACAGTCGCTTTCTCTGTCCTATGTACGCTTACGCTTAAATGTTTTAAACTACGCAACGGATTGAGGTGTGGTTTTCTTAATAGATATGTAAGTACATAAGGCTTATATGCATAATAAAATCCATAAAATAGTGAAAAACCCGCACATTTTCGTGTCAACGTAAACGTTACCTAGTCCAAAATAACATCCAGGGTTTTCTGACCTCCAAATAGACATGACTAGGTCGATCTCTAGGTCACTTTACCACAAATTTTACTAACTACACGTAACAAACAAAAAACGGATAATTTTTTTTAACACTAACCGACTAACCGAATTAGGATAACAATGGAAGGAAGTGAATTAACCATCTAACGGAAGCACTAAACGTAACGGTCGAGTAGATTTGAAAATAAAAGTTCTTTTATAACGAAAGTGAGATTTTTTAAATCAGTAGTCGCCATCTTGTTTTCTTTTACGGGCTTCTTGACCAAGAAGGAGTGTTTTGACGACTTTTTAGGCTCTATTCTTTTATTTCTTTGTTACGGGTTGTTAATGTTTTGTTATTAATAGTTTAGTTAAACTAGTCTTAAGAAAAAACTGCGATGCGTTGTTTTCTTTCTTTTTTTCATCTTTACTTATATTAAAAAGAGGTAAACTTAGACTATACTAATTTATTTTAATAATTTACATACAACAATATAATTTATATATATACTACACATCAATACTATTCTCTGGTTGGTTTACTGTCTGTTTGACACTGACGTTCAATTTATTAGGCAAGGAGTCTCGTTAATTAGCTTAATAATAATTTATGTTAATCTATACTTCTATACTAATATTATAAAGAGGTAAAATGTGTAAGTTTGAATGTAGGGGGTAATCTTTGGAACCGCTGGTCGGATTCCAAAAATTCTTTCACTGATAGATAGCTGCAATGTTCCTGAGTGCTATAGGCTAATTATTATACTATCAATTTGTGTATTTTAGTCGAGCTATCGCTTTAAACGCTGCTGTTCTTTACTTTTATATGCGAAGCCGGGGCTAGCTAGTTTAGTTCATTACGTCTCGTCTGTACTCTCATGTTCCGAGAGCCCAGAGAGACAGGGCCAGCCGTTGTACTAACATTCTTACACCGTGATTATTATCATATCCGACGTTTGACCTCATTTGAACCTCGAAATAGGTCGACTAACGAATCCAATACAAAATGCAACAGGTTGTTCCCGACAACTAGTTTTGGATTAGAAAGATTTAAACGTATGTGTGTGTCTATCTCTTAAAAAACCGGTTGCTCTATCTAAGACGTCGCCTCTCAAAATTATTCCGTTTTTTTTTCTCTCATTAAATTAGAAAAGAGGTGGGATACGGGTGTATTGTTGTCTCGCCTTCGCCTTAGACCGCAGCCATAAAAATTTCTTTGTCTATGATGTTGTTGTTTATGGTTTTTTTTTTCCTTTTGTTTTTAATTATGTCGTCTAAGACTGGTGTTTTTGGGATGAAAATGAAGATGATGTTCGAATATTTAAATAAATCGATTATAAATACATGTCCACTACCACACTTATGCCAATTATAATAATATCATATCATTTGTAGTTTTAGTACAACTAAAACCACCTAGAATACACAACACAAGTCATTATTTTAACACACACAAAACAACAGCGTATAATATACTCTTTTATCGAAATGACCTACATTTCCCTTCTGTTTTATGAAGTCAAATTTCGAGTTCATTATTGCGACATTCATTCATAAATTGCTATCATAGCGTTATTGTTTCGGAGTTATTGAAGTCAACAGTATTATGAATGTTTGTATAGATATTTTCGATTTTCGTATTACTTTTACGTACCTACCCATTACCCATATAACACTTCTTAGACAGTTAGTTACGTGAATAAGCCAATTTATCCAGGCCTTCTTGGAATTACTAGGGCATCATAAATTATCTAAAAGTAAGGTTTAAAATGCATAAAAATAGACAGGAAATAAACAAAACACAGATATATACACAATTTAAGTTCACGAACGTTGACATTCCGAGCACTGAACGGCGTTTCCCGCCAATCCCGATATTCACATCTCTTTCTAACGCGTACACTCCCATAAGATAAAGCGAGATAGCAACACAAACAACTTTTATCGCGGTTATACTTATTGCTGACATCCTATTTAGAGATAAAAAAAAAGTCTTTTTGTTGTTATTTTATGAATTATTGTGCGTGTGTGAACTTTTGTGGTATAGTTTCGTAGGTAAGGTGTTTTCCTGTACATTGCGAAATAATTAAACATATGGTTTACCTGTAAGTTAAGGCAGTTAGATTAGGTACACGAATAATTTAGGCAAAACTGATCTACCAAGTTTGAAACCATATTATGTAGAGTGGAGCTGCCTAAGGCCTAAATCATGAATAAAGTTATGTGAATTGGCCTGCAAAATCTCCAAAAAGCCAAAAAGACCAACTAAACTAAAGACCCACATAGACTATGATATAATTTCGCTAAAAGAAATTTCGCTTTCGTAACACTTTCGCGCTAAACCATAGAGTCGCGGCTTCAAAAAAGTTCGTTCACCTACTCTATGCTTCAAGGCTAAGCCAAGTGATGTCATTAGGCATTTCAAGTTTTTTGCACATAATATTATTATTATACATGTGTTAGTTTAAAAAGATTTGGATTTTTAAAGTTGTTGATAAGCTTGTAGATAGTATAACTAAGACATTTTTGCATTAAGGAAAAATTTAACTTCCCTTTAGGTTTCATGAAGGTCGATCATCATAAAAAAGGAATCCTGGCGTGTCCTTGACTATAAATAAATACATCTATCTCTATTATTAGTTGGGTAACAGAGAGAGATGGACGATGATGAAATTTTAAGTACTTCTGATGTTTTCGATTCCTTGAAGTTGTATGTAGTATTAAAATAAAAATGTCTTCTTATCGTCAATCAGTTAGAATTGAGTCACATTGTAGTTAAGGACCGTCGGACATCCAGAAATGAAATCGTACTGAAAATTTAAATCTTGACACTTTTAGCATGGTAATTATCATGTCCTCCGAGGTTTTTGATAATCGACATTGTAAAAACGACATGTAATATTATACTTATTTTACCTTTCCTCTTATTTATAATTGCACGTGATAACTGTCGTAAAAGTCCATAATTTAAAATTCCCGTCGGCAAATACATACATAGATTTAAGGACGATATTATAATGATCATAGGTTAGACCATGATATGATATTGTTGATTGCGTATTAAAGAACTAAATCGAGTAGGCCATGGTAATTTGACTTCAACAAACTGACAACAAAATCGTTAGGTTTTTATGTAGAGTTGAGCTCTACAAATTTTAAATTATAAATAAGTATAATTTGTTAGTAGTTTAGAAAGATATTTATGTTTTGTTAGATACAATATTAATAATAAAATAGTTATTGCAAAAATACCGAAAAATTGAATTATTATTTTACTTACACGGATAAAAATCACACGGTAATTTGCAAGCTTTAAAACTAAGTTACGAGCTTATTATTACAGTATTGAGCAATTATATTTAAACAGAACTATTATATTATTGTCAATAGACATAAAAATAAGTGAAAAACAAAAAAGTTTACGGAAAAAAAAGTTCGTAAACTTACCCTGAGCATTGGCAGTTGATCTCACAGTTTTTACTACTTTCCCCCCACATTTTGTCACAGTAAAACAACAGTACACAAACACTAATAGTTCATTACTATTTATTAATCAGTCTTAAATGATGATTATAGTTCTTATCACAGTATATTTTTGGAGAACGCACGAAAGGACTACTCGCAATGAGCGCCAGACGCAGACTGAAGGCAACTGACGAGCCGACTGGGCTAGTTCCCGCGGGCGCGCGAAACGGCCGTTGAGGGATACCACCCTCTATGTTTTTCTTGGTAGGATTATAGGATTTCTACCCTATTAGTATCATTTTTTGGTAAGCGTATCTAATTTTGTTTTAAATTAAAAATACAGCTTTTATCAAAACTATAAATTAATTTAGTTGAATTAATAAAGTCGTTTTTCTAAAATTAAACATAACCTAAATCGAACTGTCACTCATGTGGTGTTTTTAAAACATTTATAAAAGAACAGAATAGCTTTCAAAAATATCAAATAACTTACCTTATTCCGTTGAACGTATCGTATAATAAATTTAAACTTAAATTGAAATAAGATTTTATAAAGAAAAACGAGATATGAACGAAAATTTGGTACGCACACTACAAGAACAGTATACATACTACACTTTTAGACTAGGTAGTTAAAATTATTTGATACTTTAATAATTTACAATAATTACTTATATTACTACCTATTCAACTTAATTAATTAGATAATTAGTAAATACAAAATGATAAAAGCTGGAAGTTAAGTAAATCGTATCTCCTAATGGTTGCGATATTAATGACGTCAGCGATCGTGATTATAATAAATTCTTGTTTCAATCTTCATGTTGAGAATACGTACATTTCCTATGACGTGTTATTTATACTTAAAGAGTAAAATAGAACTGTGACTGAATAACAACGAAAACTGAACTATAATTTTGAAAGAGAGAGTAGCCGTTAGTATTGTTTTAATAAAAAATAATAAGTAAACTAAATAATAATTGAAGTGAAGCAAAATAACACTTTTTAAGAAGTTATGTATGTGGTTATTATCCTTTTATCATTTCTTTTTGAATTTTTTTACCTTGCCATACTTTCAACTTAAAATCAGCTGTTATTTTAAAATATTCATAATAAATAGTAGAATTTATAATTTTTGAGGATGGCAACTGGAACGAACCCGTCTGAGACTGAGTAGGTATACCGTATACCTCCTAACTAGATCGAGGATTCGATATCATTTTTATCAATTTCGACCTTATTTCCTCAGTGATAAAGTATAGTTTAGTTCTTCTACAACCTTGAATGGAATGCCATACAAAAATCATATGGGAAACGAATCCTGTTCTTACACATACAAAAAACCGCTTACAAATGAAAATGGATCTAATGTTATAAATGTTAAAGGTTTATTTTAATTGTATGCTGTCGGGAATCCAGTATCTCACACAAACACATTGATAAAATTCAAAGTAACAATCATATGATCGCATTCTGGACGTCGCAAGCTAAATTGAACTTTTTCACAACATCATAGAAATCAATGTTAATTGAAGTATCCTTTTCAGGCTTACTTAAAAGCCCGCCAACTTTTATTTGCAACGGACGAAATAAGGGATACCATACATTTTGTATTCGTTATCATTTTTTTGGAACGCAAATATAACTTTGTGTCTCCCTGTACCCTTAAATTCCTTGGCAATCATATGGTCAAGTTTACGCTTCTAAGATGACGACAAAAAAAACCAGAAAAAAGCTGTTACATCAAGTTTTGAATTCAAATATTACGTGATTTGCAATTTAAACTACTATTTATAACTAATTTCATAGATAATGGATCTGAGAATTAAATTCGATCAGCTGTTTTTTGTTATTTCCGCCATTTTGTGTGGTTTAGCTTTTTAAATCATTTTTTTTCTGCCTTTATTAATTCGAAGGCGTTGCTTGACGTGGCTTTATTTTTATGTTGGTACTACTTACTCACCAACCTGTGAAGTTTTTATAGTACTTTTGTGGGAAACCTTTGACCAAATTATTCAAGGAAGATTACAGCTTAGTAAGTATTGCTAATACGTGATTTAACCATGGAGTTTGTTGCTCGTTCTTCTCCATAGGAATCTACACTTTGGAATGAGCAAATAGCTTCACTAACAGCCGTTACATTTGACATTCAAAACTGTTTGATTTGTTTTTAATTCTGTAATAATTTACCTGTTAGGTAGGTAAATTATTGTGAACCGTTTCGAAGTTAAAATAACTGTTGCCAAGTGCCTTGGTACCTAATAAGAAATACTTAATTAAAATCTGACTTTAAAACCACTTCATAACCTACAAATATTAGGTATAAACGCGAAAGTGTGTAAGTATGGATGGATGTGTTACTCTCTCACGTAAACACTACTGATCGGATCTGAATGTTATTTGGCACAGAGATAGAATATAGTCTGGAATAATACGTGGAATATTTTTTACCCTGGTTAGAATCGGCTAGAATACCATATTCCTAAGTATATTTGGTCCGCGTAAATAAGGCTTTCCTTCCCCGTATTTCTAATTATTTGTATGTTAAAATTCAATAAGATTGTTACTAACAAACTAATCTAATTTCGCATTTTTATTACTGTTGCCATGTGCTGCTAAAATGTTACCCATCATAGACAAAGGCCTTTTCTCACACGGAGAAGGTTTGAGCATTAACCACCACGCTCAAAGCGGATTGGCAATAACAAACTTATAATTAGAAATTACAAGTCCAGGTTTTCTCACGATGCTTGCCTTCACCGTATGTGTTCCTAGAAAGTACTTACGAATTAAAAAGAAAAAAATAATTCTAGCTCCTTTTTGGTTCCTTTTCTTGTCGGTAAAGAGGCACGTGTTATCAACGTGTGGATTATAGAGATACTTTTTTGAAATTCCAATTTTTATGGAATGGGAGCACTTACCAAGATTTTAATGTTTTTATCCAGACAAAAATAAGAAAACTTAATTACCTAGGTACTCTAGTACTTAATCTAGATTACTGTAATATAATCTAGATATTTACTTAGTAGCTTAAGTCAGTGTGAAGCTACCGAAAAGCCGACATAAAAATTGTAATCTTCCCTTTAATGACAGACTATAACATAACCTTAATTTATTTCATAGTTAACCGAAAAAAGAAATGACGATCAAAACTTAAAGAGATTTTATGCGATATGGTTTTCGACACATTATTTCAAGTTCAAAAACATAGACCTATATATAGAGATAGATACCTTTGAAATTTGGTTCGAATCACTACATAGTATAAAACAAAATCGGTTTCTCTGTCCCTATATCCCTATGTATGCTTACATCTTTAAAACTACGCAACGAATTTTGATGCAGTTTTTTAATTGATAGAGTGATTGAAGTGGAAGGTTTGTATGTATAATGACATCCATTAAATAGTGGAGAAAATCAGTATCAGCGTTGCACCCGTGCAAGGCGGGGGCGGGTGCAGTATGCGACGTCTAAAATGCCTTGAATATCATTTCACAAAATGTCTTTCTGAAATATATTATTTATTACTAGCCCATAGTGACCCACTACTGGGCAAAGGCCTCCCCATCTCGCTTCCACACCTCCCGATCCTTCGACCGTGTCCACCAGTCTCGACGATAGGCGTGTAGATCGACACGCCATCTTTTCCGAAGCCTACCCCGCCTGCAGCCTCCATCCTGAGGTGTCCACTGGGTGACAATAGTGGCCCATCTCTTCAGCTCGGCTGACGTGTCCGGTTCAGTTCCATTTTAATGTTTTGTTTATGGAATAAGAGGTAAGCAATCAGCGCCGCCCATGAACACCTGCAACGGAGGAGTTAGGAGTGCGTTGCCGACCTTTTAGGGATTAGGGTTTTGGAGATTTAGGGATTGGGGAAGGATCAGGGCAGGAGGAGGATTGGGCCTCCGGTAACGTCACTCACACGGCGAAACACAATGCTGCGGTTGTTTCACGCCGGTTTTCTTTGAGTCTGCGGTATCACTCCGGTCGAGCCGACCCATTCGAGCCGAAGCATGTGTCTCCTACACTTTAAGTGCCAACAATGTTAACTAAAAATGTTTAAATACGTAAGTATTAATTAAATTGTTAAAAAAGACAAGTAACTTACAGACATACGCATTCAAAATGTTAATAAAATTAGAGACAAAAAGATCTTTAGTAAAATTATTAGTATACAATGGAAACTATATAAGTAGGATGTGTTTTGTTATTTTTTTTCTAACAGAAACGACCACGCAATGACGTATAAAAATAACCTCTTTAAAAATCTAATAGTGTCATGGCGTCGCGTCGGTGGCGTCCTGTCAATTTGACAGCTCGATTCAAGATTTAAAACTTGATAACGACAACATAAACGAACGAATACTGAATTGAAATACAATTGGATGGAGAGGGATAGCGTTCTGTTATCAGCACCCAGATTCTTGAGATGGGTGTTAATAGCTAAATAACATTTTATTGTTATGGTTGAAAATGCGTTCAGCCTTGCGGGGCAAGCGCAATGAGGCATGGCGGCTTCGTCCCAGAGCAAAAGAAGGAACGGGGGTTTTTAGTCAGTAAGAGTCTGACACCCTCTTTAGCCTTACCCTGGGCGGTAGAAACTATTTGATGATTTTCCTCTTACAAAAAATAAAAATAAAAATGGGAAAAACCGCGCAGCGGTAGCTAGTACGAAATGTAAAAAGACTACACTTTAGAACGAGCAAATAGCTTCACTAGATGACAGACCGACAGTCTGACACACACGAAGTTGAACTACTTGATTTTTTTTGGTTTGGCGTTCATGAGTGCTTATAGGTACTGGTCTATTTGGAATGAATTTGACTGGGACTTTGACGTTAAAGGTTAAGCACAACCGTCTTCGAAAAGCTCTTTAAAATAACAGTTATACGACATCGGATCTCCCTGTCTTTCTAAATGAAAATTTGCTCAACCAACTTTTGAGACGTTAATATATTACCTAAGTAAAAAGTTTCATCAAAATCGGACTAACAGTTTCCGTGATTTTTCACTTGAACATTTGTAAGAAAACCTGTCTCTTATAAACGTATTAAAAAGCTTACACCTGGCATCCTCAAACCTCTTTCACGATGTCGAAACGTAATATTGTTTTAATAATACTAACTAGACGCGCCTAGCTCTATCACGTTCAATTAAAATTGCTAATTCGATGTATTATTATTAAGCTTCAAAGATCAACGAACGACAAAACTTATACAGCTTCGAAATTCGGCAACGAGCAACCGGATTACCTGATGGTAAGCAATCGGCGCCGCCCATGGACACTCGTTATACCAAAGGAGTGACTAGCCTCTTGTGGGTTATTAGGGATTTGAGGATTGTGGATAGTGGAGGTCAAGGATTGGGCCTCCGGTAACCTCACTCACACGGCGAAATGTGAGTATTGCTTCACGCCAGTTTTGTGTAAGGCCGTGGTAACACTACGGTCGAGCCGGCCCATTCGTACTGAAGCATGGCTCTCTCACACTTTATCAACCTGACTAAAAATAAGTACAATATACATAGTTGCGTCCATATCTTCTAGCCACCATTCAATTCATAATTTAAACAAAAAAGATTACATAAATAGTGCCGCGTAAGGCTCAGGCTCAATGAATCAAAATTCCTCGTTCTCATGGCAATAAATAAAAAAAAACTATTTTTATTGTTTCTGTCAATCAGCTGTAGATGCGCCGCCATGTTGGTTCTTTGAAATTGTAAAACGGAATGCGTGTAACGAATTTTAATTTGATTTTTTTGTTAAAAAGAAACTATTATTACTTACTTTTAATGGTTTATTCGTAAAAGTTTAGTTAAATTTAGAAAGAGACGTTTTTACTATGCGAGTTTTGGCCTTACTTGGCTTAAACACAAACCTGTGGGTATTTCACGCCAGTTTTCTGCGAGGCTGTAGTATTAATTCATTTGGGCCGGCCCATATATTGTAAGTATAAAGTTTCTGTCAGACATCAAAATAGATATAAAGGCTTCAGTTTCAGATTATTTGGTTTTATATACCTAGTCAGAATCTGCATATAAATATTATAAATTATAAACTCGAAAGTGTGTAAGTACGGATGTATGTTTGTTACTCTCTCACGTAAACACTACTGAACGGATCTGAATGTAATTTGGCACACAGATATATTGTAGTCTGGAATAACTCATGTTACGGTTAGCAGAAAACTGGTTTTTAAAAAGACCTAGGTATGCACTTATGTTAATTTTAAAACAATATTGTCAATTGAAAAAGTCGTAAAAATATTTTTATAAGTCGTAAAATAATTCTCTGGTGCCAGTGATCGACCGTAAAGGTTGCATTGCATTAAAAATAGACCACACGGGTGCAAATCGATGCACCATGCATACAATGTTACAATGTCCACGTGTAATTAGCTCATGAAGTCAAGGAAATCGCTCGATCGGAGTGATGCCACGACCTCACTCACACGGCGAAACACAACGCTGTGGTTGTTTCACGCCGGTTTTCTGTGAGGCCGTGGTATCATTCCGGTGTGCCTACCATAAAACAAAAACTACAAAAAAATATCGCCTAGTTACCTCCACGATAGTCATTTTTTTATGGTATAAGTCGGCAAACGAGCAGACGGATTACCTGATGGTAAGCAATCGGCGCCGCCCATCGCAGCACCAAAGGTTACGATTGCGTTGCCGGCTTTTTGGGGATAGGTGTTGCGGATATAAGGATCGGGTAGGGATAGGGGAAGGGGAAGGATTGGGCCTCCGGTAACTTCACTCACACGGCGAAACACAACGTGCCAATTAGACCCTTACAGGTACTTTTGAACGTCAAACAAAATTTTGAAGATATAGTGTCAGTCTGTCGGTCAGTCCTCTTAGTGAAGCTATTTGCTCGTTCCAAAGTGTAGATTCCTATGGAGAAGAACGAGCAAGAAATAATTTACTTAAACTATTTTTTTATCTGTCTAGGTTCAAGTTATAGGAAGTGTGGGAGAGTCATGCTTCGGCACGAATGGGTCGGCTCGACCGCAGTGATACCACGGCCTCACAGAATACCGGCGTGAAACAACCACAGCGTTGTGTTTCGCCGTGTGAGTGAGGTTACCAGAGGCCCAATCCTTTCCCTCCCCAATCCCTCCCCAGTTCCTAAATCTCCAAAACCCTAATCCCTAAAAGGTCGGCAACGCACTCGTGACTCCTTCGTTGCGGGTGTTCATGGGCGGCGCTGATTACGTACCATCAGGTAATCCGTCCGCTCGTCTGCCGACTTATAACATAAAAAAAAAGAATTATCTATCTAGGAATATATAGACTAGGGTAGAAGCCTTCAAAAATAATGAATTATTTTTCCTTTCATTTTTATCATATTTCTCTCCTTTTCTAATCGGGTTTCATACTATTATGATTTTTTTAGGTTTTAAAAATTATCGACCCTGGACTAATAGGTATCTAGGTAGATTATAGTTAATCTATTTTGATAAACCTAGCCAGTTGAGTTAGTGTAAAGATATCCTTTCTGTATCCCATTTGATAATTTTAACCGTTAAGTTTTATCAGGAAAAAACCTACGTCATACATGATATATTTTTATCAGTAACGCCGATTCGTTTGATAACCCTCGGCCTTTCCTTGAAGTTATACATATTTAACTAAATTCATTCATTCATCGATAGCATATCTTATAAGTATGTGAAGTGCAAGTCTCTGCTGAACATTTCTACATAGTACCACCGTGACTCTTCACCCTGGGTATCAGATACCGTCCAAGTTAATTACGTAAGCTTTATCATTAAATGTCGATTTTGTTGATGATGATGATGGTGACATTTGAATCGGTAACTTTGTAGGTCCAATTCTCCCCCCCCCAACCCTCCTCAATCCTCGTATCACTGAAACCCGTTATCCCCATAATACCGACAAGTCACTAACTTCTCTGGTGTTGCGAGTGTCCATGAGCGGCGCCGATTGCTTACCATCAGGTAATCCGTCTGCTCGTTTGCCGACCCATCACATAAAAAAATGCTATTATTATATTGAAATAATAAATTGATATACGAAAATAACTCTTATACATATATAGCTAATATAATAAAGGCTACCTAAAGTAAAGGTTTTTTATAGTATAATATCATAATTTATGATTGAATTGACGAAGAATTCGGAAGTTCCTTTTTAAAAAACATTTTTGTTGACATATGAGGTCCTAGGTGCTCCTCGAATGACTATAACTTTTAGCTCGGCCGAAACCGGGAAGAAACGCTTGAGTGTCGTCATTGTGAGGACCACCCAGAGGACATACGGTGGCGGTATGCCCTGCTTGGGCTGAGAACCGCCGTGTCCTCAGGGAAGTGATCGGCGGCGGCGACCTCTAGCGTCCTAAGTCGTAGGCCACAGTGAGGAGCGAGAGGAACTGGGAAGCCGTCTCCTCTTTCAGTTTCGAAAAGGAGGCGGAGTGCGAGAGAGAATTATGCTCCTGCTGCTGCAGAAGGCGACACCCTATACGCGTCAGGGATCGAGAGATGATCTCCGGCCACCGTAAGCGCGGGTCTGCGGACGGCGAGTAAGGGCAGCTCGCTGCCCGACCAGAACCAGGCCCGAGTGTACGGCGCGTAGTGTTCCGCGCGCGCCTCAAAGAGTCAATAGACCACCACAGACGGGGCCCTTTAGGGCTGATGTTCAGCCGGGGTTGCGGGGTAAGCGCAATGAGGCATCGCGACCTCGGGCCGGAACAGGAGAAGGAACAGGGGGGTTTTTTAGTCAGTAAGAGTCTGACACTCCCTCCTGCCTCAACATACGCGGGAGAAGTCATTTCACGACCCCCCCCCCCCCCACAAAAAAGGCCAATTTGAGATAATTTCACTCACATAAACAAAGTTATGAGCGAAAAGCCAGTTATTAAAATTAAGACAATCGATAAAAGAAACCGATTTTTGGAAGCCATTTTTTTTCAAGAACAAAGCGTTGCTTGGCTGTCTTTTCTTCAATTGTGTTTCGGCATTGCTTCTTCAAAGGTAACTTATACAACAATATTATTATAGTTTCTATAGACTTCGTAAATATTAGGGCCACCGGCGCCGCCTGCAATTGTTTTTATTTTAAAATACATATTCAAAAGAATTTTCTATGTTTAACATAGGAATTAAAAAGGACAAATTTATAAGCGTGGGAGCGCAATGAGGGATCATTGAGTTTGTCAAAAATATAATACACTAGCTACTCTCGCGAGGTTTCACCCACTGCTCGATTCCATTTGATCGTAGCGTGAACTTTTATAGCATATAGCACTCAGGAACATTGTAGCTATCTATCAGTGATAATTTTGGCAATCCGACCGTGTCCTCAAGGAAGTGATTGGCGGGGGCGATCGCTCGCGCCCGGCCTTAGACGAGTCTATGGTGCGGAGCGAGAGTTTCTGAACTGGGGCGCCGTCTCCTCTTTCTGCGAAGCAGTTATGCTCGCAAAGAAGAAGGCGGATTGTGTGAGATAACTATCCTCCTCATGCCCTAGCCGCCGCATTAAGCGACACTCCGGCGTCAGGGACCGAGCTTGACCGAGCGTGCGGCTTTGCGGACGGTGAGTAAGGGTAGCTCGCCGCCCAACCAACGCTCGCTTCAATGAGTTAATAGACCACCACAGACGATGTCCTATAGGGCTGATGTTCAACCAGGGTTGCGGGGTAAGCGCAATAAGGCAGTCAGAAAGAGTCCGACGCTCCCTCTCGCCTGACCCTGGGCGGAGAAGGCATTCGATGAATTCTCCCTCACAAAAAAGCCTACTTCTTAAACACACAAGATTCAGAGACATCAAATAAACAGGACATGTTCTCAGAAATAACAATGTAGGTACCTAGGTAAAGACAGGATTTGACACTTGTAAATGTCAACACAATAGTGACGTTTGACGCCATCATTATTGGTAGGTAGAGGATGTCCGTTGAAAATTTTAAATCGACCTCCTACGGTGTCCGGTTTTTAAAATGTTTCGTTTAGTGTTATGTTGTGTCTATTAAAAGCTTTGTGTTACTTAATATAGGGATAATACGGTAGTTTCCAACTAGTCAAATTCAATACTTTTATCGAAATGTCAAAAACGATACTTTTCTATGAAATTTGTATGAAAAACTGAGGTATGACATCATAGTATTTTTGCGTCATATAGCTTACTTTTTTCTTAATAATTAGCTACAAAATATCTAAAACTTAGTGTATCAATCGATTGATGAATAAAAGTATTGTTATTTTTAAATATTTTATTGTATTGAAACGTCGAATTAATTTATTTTTGACCTAGGAAACTACCCAATTGTCGTAATGTATATGTATGTTCATCTGTTCCCTCGTAACTTCTAAACTACTTATCAGAATTCGACAAATCACATATCATTAGAAACGTCTTAATTGGCCGCTGGTTATAGGCTATATGGGGTATGCCAAAATCTGATGTGGCGTCCTCTAACGGACAGAACAGTCAGGGTAAAAAATAAGTGTTGTGATACTTATTATTTAGGGATATTTTGTCGACTTATCGGTATAAGATAGAGCCATGGTTTAGTAGACCAACTCTCTTTCCCCTTTATATGGTTAATGGTCCGCAAATTAAGTAGTTTCCTAGGTCAAAAATGAATTACCTACATACCTAATTCTAAAAAAATAAGTTATACTTTTGTTCATCGATCTGTCGATATTTACACTAAATTTTTGATATTTTTAAGAAATAAGTAAGTAAGCTCAATGAAAGAATGAACTTTACACGTCGATTTGTATGTCAAAAACTAGATGAAGCCGGAAAAAATAAAATACTAAGACGTCAAAAAAGTACGATACTGTAGCAGCTCTATACTTTTATTTGTCGATCTAAACACACTAAATTTCTTTTTATTTTAAGCTAATTTTTAAAAAATAAATAAACTATTTGGCGCAAAAATAATTTCTCTGAAGTCATTTTTTGGAGTTTATAATACAAATTTCAAAGTAAAAAGTATCGTTTGGATAAAAGTATTGAATTTGACTAGTAGTACCTAAGTAGGAAACTTCCGCATTTTTCTAACTTAACCTCCAAAACATTATCAAAGCTTAAACCTAAACTACTGAAGAAGGTAAGTTGTACAAATAAAATAAAAAAACTTTATTATCCCTCAAATAAGGACCGGAAAACTACAATAACTATTTTTATAAGGATACACACTTAAAACTTTCTGAAACTAACAATAGATAACAGCTGATTATAAACATATTCAAACAAAATAATTTTTGCTTTAAAAACCGTTTTTTTTTATTACGACCAACAAATTACTCTTCACAGACAACCGAAAAAAAAATTGAAGCTTACCGCTAAAATTTCACCTTTATACGACTATAATCTTTAAATTTTACGTCATAAGGTGTAATATCGTCTGGCAATAAAACATAGAAATGCAAACGGGCTGGAGAATTCCAGATTTAAAAACAACGGTATCGTAACCGACTGTGCGTTTCGCGCGCTTTTGCATCCTGCTAACTTAACTTTACCGTTATAGTAATCTCTATTTGTCCCGCGTAAGATTGAAATTTGATTGATTTTGAAATTATTTAAATTTGTTTACACCTGACAGATAATCTTTGAATGGGCGTTCGTAGAAATGGCGGAAGGATCTTTCTCAAAATGTTACATTTTACTTATTTATTTTCAAACCGCTTATAAAGCAAATCAGCTGATTTTGTTCCTTAGCAAAATCAGCTGTGAATTTAAATGTAAGCTTTACTTTGAAAAGGTAACATTTTTGATGTTTTTTATTGTTTAGCCCTTTTATTATAGAAGGGTTATTTAAACACTTGTAACTTTGGTGTTGCGGGTTTAGGCGACCAGTACTCTTGAACGCGTGCTAAGAAATTATAATAAAAATCTTTATCAGCCGATAAAAGTGCCCACAGCTGAGCTTAAACCTCTTTTCACTACTCTATACTTCGGCAAGATTGTTTGGAATAAAAAAAAGTACTTCCATCGTTTCAAAATGGCCGTAAAATTAAAATGTTTAATCGCCAATCAGGTGACGAGTAACGTCATGGTATAATAACCCTTCTTTCACTAGAAATAAAGTCGTGATTACCGTGTTTCTTAAGGTACCGGACACTAGATATATGTATTTCGTTCATAGCGCTTTTTTAAGGAAAAGCTAAAAAGAAATTCAAAGATCAAATTGTGTTATCATCAGTGCAAATATAAAATTATCTATGTAATATTATATGTATTACTTACGTACATAAGAAATTACCTACTTATTACATTTATAAAAAAGAATCTTACAAAAAATATTATAAACGCGAAAGTGTGTAAGTACGGATGGATGTTTGTTACTCTCTCACGTAAACACTACTGAACGGATCTGAATGTAATTTGGCACAGAGATAGATTATAGTCTGGAGTACTCTTTATCCTGGTAAGCATGATGTTTGGAAGACAATAACTGTGGTTAGCTGTTCTTCCGGGCTGATACGACATTCGAACCTTCAAGAAACGAGCGTACTCCTTCTTAGAAGAGCGGCAACGCACTTATCACTCTGGAGTTAGGATCCATGGGTGACGCTGATTGCTTACCATCAGGTCTGTTAATCCGTCTGCTCGTTTACCCACCGACCTACTTGGAGATTTTGGGATTGAGGAGGGTTTGGAGGAGGGAAAGGATTGGGCCTCCGCCCGGTAACCTCATTCACACATCAAATCACGACGCTGTGACTATTTCTCGCGGGTTTTCTGTGAGTTAACCTAACTATCCAATTAATATTAAGTATAAATGCGAAAGTACTTAACTGTGTCTTTTCTTCACGCCTAAACTACTGAACCTATATATGTGTGTTATTTTGTACAGACATAGTTTGGAACTCGAGAAAGGACATAGAATAGTTTTTTAACCAAGAATCTGCAGGAAATCTGCCATTCCACGCGAATGAAGTCGCGGGCAAAAGCTAGTTCCAATCCAAATATGTAAACCATAAAATGTTGAAACGTCAAAAATATACTCGTCGAATTGAGAACCTCCTTCTTTTTTGAAGTCGGTTAAAAATAGAATAGTAGTCTGTCAGTCTGTTCGTCAATGAAGCTAGGTGCTCGTTCCAAAGTGTAGTTTCGAATGGAGAAGAACGAGCAAGAAACTCCATGGTTATCATCAGCCTCATATAAGCCTTCTGCAGTGACTTCCAGATCTTTCTGGAAGCGTTCTACACCCAGTGGTAGATAAGTTCTTTAGGTGGTCCGTCCACCCAGTAGGTAGATAGATAGTAGTGATACCACGGCCTTACAGGAAACCGGCGTGAAACCACTATATCGTTGTAACTAGAAGACCAAACCTGGCAAGTACCAATGTGACTTTTTCCTAGTATTATGTATATTATAATGGTACTTTCTATGATTATTTAGACACCACTGACATACGGTGAAGGTAAACATCTTGAGGAAACCTGGACTTATCTATACTTCTAAACTAATATTATAAAGAGGTAAGTTTGTATGTGGGAGGTAATCTTTGGAACCACTGGTCGGATTGCCAAAATTCTTTCACTGATAGGTAGGTAGCTACAATGTTCCTGAGTGCTATAGGCTATAAAACATCACGCTACGATCAAATGGAGCCGAGCAGCGGGTGAAAACCGCGCGCGCGTGTGTAGCAAGTAATTTGTAATTGTAGTTCGAAATCGCCAATCCGCCTCGAGTAAGCGTGGTGGTTAATGCTCAAACCTTCTCCGTGTGAGAAGAGGCCTTTGCTCAGCAGTGGGCTCTTATAGGCTGATGATAATATTGGCTGTCATTAAAGAACTCCGCCATTTTGAATGTATTGTACCTATGTAATAATAAATCAAAAATATTTTATCAATATTATTTGAACATTTTTGTTATTGTAAATTCAATCTTGTTCCCGAAGACATTAAGTTGAACTTCCTCTAGCAAGGAAGACACGTGATAAAGCATTTTTCCCTCGCTTTTACAAGAGGTCATTGTCGGTCAGAGAACAGGTATGCTTTTTGAAGGCAATCAAAAAACAACTTTAAGTCCACGAGTTAAAGTTCAAAATTTATTATCACTTAATAATTCTCACGATCGACATTTTTATACAGCGACAAAAAGAAATGGCTTACCATACATAAGGTTATAGACTTTAATGCTTTGAAGTTAAGGTTGAAATTGCAATGTAGACCTTCAGTTTGACAGCCCGCGCTTTTTCAATGGAGGTTATCTACAATGTTTATGACGTTTGGATAAATAGATAGTGGAACATATTTAGCCACCCTACTCTTCTAGTGGGTGTAAGATACCTACACGTAGAACGGAGACCTATCAGCAGCGCTTTCTAATAAACCTGAACCTTTTAAACTGCGATCTCCAACGCGTTTGCCAAGTCTGGAGATTTAACCCTATCCTAAAGATGAACTTGAATCCAGCAATTGCGAGCTGACGGATGACTTGATGGTAAGCAATCGGCGCCGCCCATGGACATTCGCAACACCAAAAAGGAGTAACGAGTGCGTTGCCGGCCTTTTCGGGATAAGGGTTTCACGCTCACACGGTCTCACCTCTTGCGGGTTATTAGGGATTTAAGGATTAAGGATGGGGCCCAAAGGAGCAGAAACAGAAGGTTTTTAGTCAATAAGAGTCTGACATTCCCAGTACTCCGAAGTAATTTGATGATTTACCCTAAAAAAAAACGATTCCACATCATAACATACCCAAGCAAAAGAATAGGTAATTAAAAAAAAAAAACTATTAAAAACATCGATCACTAATAAAGAACGTGATCGATGATTAAAAACTCTATTCCTGCCTGACACTGACGTTTCTAAATTTCAAATTTTGGCGCCGTTTTCTTGCGTTTTTTTTGTCGAATTCAAATCCAAGAAGCTTCTTACACGTAACGGTCACTGTGTTCAAAATTTCTCTGTTAAAATATAAAAATAGCTTACAGTTGCGAATTGTTCGAATATCCGGTGTTACTTGGCGATTGGAATAGGTACTTATTGTAACTGATAAATGGCTATAGATGCGTCCCCGGAGACTTATCACATGACAAAATCTTATTGTGAATTTCTTAAGGCTCCCGTGAATCCTTCACAAGCGAATTACAAAAGTATTAGTTGAACAGTTAAATATTGTGTTTACACCACAAATAATGTTATTCGACCTTCCTGCCTTAATTTTGTCTAGCTTTCTTGAGTTTTAAACTATGTCTACCAAATTTTACACAAATAGATTCAGTAGTTTAGGCGTGAAGAGAAGACAGACAGACAGAGTCACTTTCGCACTTATAATATATTAGTTTGGATAGATCACTATGGGCCTTTTTGAACTTCAAGCATGTGTCAGTCTGTCGGTCTGTCCTCTAGTGAAGCTATTTGCTCGAATATGTAGAATTGTATGTAAGTAGATTATCTATAAAAAGTCTAACTCAAGAAGACTATGTCAAAAAATGTCGCGCGAACGACCCGGTTCTACGTCCTAATCCAAGGTCGTCTGTGCAATGTTTAAAACGAATTGCGTTTATATTTTTGTTAAGTAATTTATTATTTTTATTCCTTGACTTTTGACAATGTTAAGGATTTTACACTTCAGAAGCTTTTTTTTCGTAAATTTTGAAAGATACATATTCTTGTTGTTCTGTGGTTACGTTATAAATATGATGTTATTAAATATTAACGAAAATTACCTATGTGCCGAACGATTTCATATTTTTAGTTCTCTAATGGGCCTATGGCACCCAGGAAAAGATTAGGTATAGTGACAAAAGTATACCTACCTCTAAAAATTCAGAGCTAAGTAACTGTAAAAAACTATTCAAATTAGATTTTTTTTGCTGTTACCAAACTTCTTGTTTGAATTCAAACGTTGAATTCGAAAAATGGCGGCTCGCCCTGACAGATTACCATCCACACAACATGGTATGTAAGTAAATACCTACAACCGTGAAATGAATCTAAATCTAACGATAAATCTTTGTATCACACCCTGGAGCCTTATAAACATCTAAAGATCCCGAAAATTTAACATTTTAACAATAGTAATATGCCCGGAACTTATAGGTACCTGCCATGAGCATTTTACGTGAAAAAAAGTTGGAACGTTTCTTAGAAGGTGGTTGCCGAAACCTGTTGGCGAATTCACAAAAAAAAAGTTAACAAAAAAGAGTATGGCCGCCCGTTTCTCCTATCAGCTGATTTTAAAATCGGTGCGTTGAGGCGCCTCTGTATTATGAGACTGTAGTCCATTGGAATGTATCGCTTTCGAGATATTATTATTGACTTCTTTTCTCGCAATTTCTACTAATATTAAGCTTCAAAACTCCAGACGTATTACCAAACTAAGTTTATTAAGACTTTTTAACGCTATTTTCATACAAAATCATCTAAAATTCAATTAAAAATTACTTTACGAAGGTCATCTCAACAAAATTTGAGGTTATTTACACGAATGCATTGGCTTTTACAGTAATAACTAAGCATAGCGACTTGTTTTATTGTTAATATTCTACAAAAACAATGACGAATATATTTAAGACCTAAATAAGATCAAAAAATCCTTCAAATTATAAATAAACCGGCAAATTATTCTTATCAAAAAGTTTAAAACAACATGGGTGTTATGTCGCAGACATTTCGTGGTACGAGGCGGCCGACCAACCTGTTTCTCCGCTCAGCTGATTCCCGCCAAAACGGCGCGTCAGTGACGAAAAAAAGTATTCAACAATTGTATTGAAAAATAGGTTTTATTGCTAGTTTACTGCACTTTTGTTGGTATTGTTATATTTTAACCAATGGGTTTAATGTTTACAAGTTATATTCAGGGCCTTTATAATAATTTTCTACCGGTTTCCGAAGAAAGTTGACGTCGTCAGCTGGTTGCCGGCCGCCGCGAATGCTGTTGAGTTTTGGTAGATTGGTAGGTATAGATAGGTTATTGCCGTATCGATTAAGCTGTTTTAATATTAATAACTTGAATCTGATTTACGAAATTATGTTTTTTGAATATAAATTTAATTTATTACGTTTTACTTGTGCATACTTTGATCAAAATATAAATAAATACGTTATTTAGAGATTGAGTTTATGACGATTTTTGATCTTAATAATTTCTAGTCTAGCTATCGATGACTTTAGTTAATCTAGATGGGTGTTTGCCTATTTTATACTCCGAGATACACAGAAGTAAACTTAGAGTGCAATGCCCCAATTCCAAAGAGGTCTACAATATTCCGAAGGTCACTAAAGAGGTTCTATAAGGACTGGTGCCCCGACCAGGATTGCAGGTCAAGCGCAAAAGTCGTGAGTGTCATTGCCAATGACATACATCGGATGGAGCAGAGCATTCCTTGGAACTGGGTGGTTTTTATTCAGTAAAATCCTACTAGGTACTATTATAAAGGCGAAAGTTTGTACTTAAGTATGGATGTATGGATGTTTGTTACTCTTTCACGTAAAAACTACTGAATGGATTTGAATGAAACTTTACCACAATATAGCTTATACATCAGAATAACACATAGGCTACAATTTTTGAGGTTTCTAATGTGAGGTCGTAAAAAAACACATTTTTTGCGCTTACGTTTCCAAAGCGAAGAATCTGCATGTTTATGCTGAAGGAAAAAGATCGTTAAATGTAGTTTATAGGAGCATACTGCAGTAGCTACCTATAGACCTATGATTAGGGCTCTGCAGTGCTTAGTTACCGTATTTCTTACTTATTACTAGACTAGACGGGACGAACCTGAAGTCCACGCGAACGAAGTCGCGGGCAAAAGCAAGTAGCTGATAAACTCGAGCATTCACTTGAAAAGAACATAAGCACTAATATTACATACCGCCCATGGACACTTGTAATACTTACCAAAGGAGTTATTTCAAGTGTATTGCCAGGGTCTTGTGCGTTATTAGGGATTTAAGGCTTCAGGATAAGGGGGGAAGGATTGGCCCTCGGTGTGCACTCACACGGCGAAATACAACGTCAATGTCGTTTCACGCCAGTTTTCTGTGAGGCCGTGGTATCACACTGATCGAGCCGGCCCATTCGCCCAACAGACCAATAAGTATTAAGTACCCACCTAGGTACTAATACCGATTATATCTAACCTCTTTAAACATTCATTTTTAGTCAGTAATAGTGTCACTGCATGAAGAAAGTGCATTCGATGATTTTTAAATAAAACAGCCTTTAATGCTTTAACATTTAAGTATAACTATTAGTCAAGGTTATTTGGACGTCAACCTTTGGTACTCAAAGATTCTGAGAATTATTTTGAACACAACACATGTATAAATGTCTTACGATTTAGAAATCTGAACAATGTGGGCTCGATGACACATTTCCTGTTTATTTTGGACTGATTTTTCAATGGATAGATAGATAAAAGTTATCTGGGAAATAATTATGATGCTGTCGCGTCAGAATGTTTGTGTAAGACAGTGACAGCAACAATTTAATTCCACAAATAACATTTATCTGACTATTGACAAATCAGCCCTTAATACTCTTTTATCTGAAACATACAAACTTAAGTCTACAGTGGTAAAAGAAACTCTAAAGCGCCACCTACTACGCTCTTTACAAAATCTTAAGCGCGCATTACAATCAGTAGCATTGTTTTCAATGCAAAGAAACAGAATTGTGGAAGATCTAAGCTTCGGCACGAATGGGCTGATGATACCACGGCCTCACTGGAAACCGTCGTGTGTTTTTTCGTGTTACTTGGAGGCTCAATCCTTCCTTCCTCTTCAGTGATCACTTTTAATTCCTCTGTTAATTCGGTGTTGCGGGTCTTTGGGTGGCGCCGTTTGCTTACCATCAGGCAAAAAGTCTGTTCGTTTGTCATCCTATCATAGATAAAAAACATGTTTGGAAGCTTTAATGAAGACAGTTTTGGTCATGCTATTTTAAATGTTTATATAACAAACAATGAAACAATGTTTTTATTTTTGTAAATAGGCCATAAAACAACACTTTCACACGTCAACGTTACGCAAATAGATGAAACTGATTGAAAAAGAGTAACCATGGAGTTTCTTGCTCGTTCTTCTCCATAGGAATCTACACTTTGGAACGAGCAAATAGCTTCACTAGAGTACAGACGGACAGACTGACACATATAAAGTTAAACCTTATGATATCTTTTTTGCGTGACGTTCACTAGTGCCTGTTGTGGTCTACTTGAAATAAAGAATTTGATTTGATTTGACAGACTCAGTTTCTTTTAAAGTCCAGTTAAGGTAATTATAGAGTCCTTTTCCTCTAATTTCAAACATAATTATAGTTCCTTTAAGACTAGGAATATTGAAAAATGACAAATTGTATTTTCGCCGTCACCATTCAAGAAGCCATGTTGTAATTTATTCTCGAGCCGTGTGATCTGACAGCTGATTTGGCGGGAAACGCCATTACGCCATGCGCCATAGAAACAATAAACTGGTTTGGTAAGAAGGTGATTTAGCAAAGAGGTCCGTATTAAGGAAGCACTCGCTATTGTTAACGCGCTCGATATTTTAAAAGGGTGCAAAAGATTGTGTTGCGATGCGCGAAATCGTATTCAAAACCTTGTTTTTTAAACAATCTATTGTCAAATTTTTCATATTGTTATTTGCTCAGCTAGAATGACAATTGATGCTACTTTTTTAGGTGTCCCAACGAGTTTGCTTTTCGTTTATGATAAATGGTATATCACTCCTTTTATGATTTACCTAAAGGGTAAGACAAATTATGCACTATTTATGTACACGAGTGTGGGAGAGTCAGGCTTCGGCACAAATGAGCCGGCTCGACCGGAGTGATATCTAACAGAAAACTTGCATTAAACCAGCTTGAAGTTATACAAGCTTTGTTTTACGTCAAAAGTCTGCCAATGAACTTGCAACAAACTAAGGTGGTCTAGTTGTCCATGCCCAGTTTGGCCTAGCGGAAGCCATGATGTGGAGCAAGCGGAACTGGGAAGTCATCTCCTCTTACTGCTAAGCAGTCATGCTCGCTAGGAAAGAGGACCCCGAGAGGGAACTATAAAAAAATGACACTTGGAGCAATTACAGTGTTATAAGTATAACTGACTTTTGTGAAAAAAAAAACGCAAATATACACTTAACGCGCCTGGAATTCAATTCAAGCCTCCTAAATAATGTTTGGAATCGTGTCCCACGCCCATCATAAAGGGGCAGGACATTCCACAATAAACAAAGACCTGAAAACCTTCAAAATATAACCATAAACCTCTATTGAAGACACCCCGATAAAGTTACAAGAACGACTTCGATTCGGAATCGTTTTTCAAAAGACGGCTTGATAGAGAACACATCTAAACACGTGAATAGAAATAAACCATTCAATTGGTTTTTTTATAGGATAAGGGCCAAACGAGCGGACGGTCTGAAGGTAAATTATCAGCGCCACCCATGGCCAACCGCAGTGTCAGAAGACTTATAAAGTGTGTAGCTATTCTTTAGAAAAGAAGTGTAGTCTTTTCTTGAGTTAAAAGTGTTTCGATTCAGGCAGAGACTCAACCGGAGTAATACTACGGCCTCACAGAAAACCGGCGTGAAAAAACCACAGGGCTGTGTTTCGCCGTGTAAGTGAGGTTACCAGAGGCCCAATCCTTTCGCCCTATTCTCAATCCTCAAATACCCTCTCTTGACTAAACGCACTTGTAGTAACTGCGTCTCTGTCTGCTCGTTTTCCGACCACTGACATAGCAAACTTAATAGCAAGCGACTTGGGTCATTTATCAACGAGAAGAGTTACTAGTGCGTTGCCGACACTTCATTTGGCCACTGGGTACTGGTAAATATTCTAAAACACATTTTTTTTATGTAATAGGTCGGCAAACGAGCAGACGGATTACCTGATGGTAAGCAATCAGCGCCGCCCATGGACACTCGCAACGGAGGAGTTACGAGTGCGTTGCCGACCTTTTAGGGATTAGGGATTTGGAGATTTAGGGATTGAGGAGGGATTGGGGAAGGGGAAGGATTGGGCCTCCGGTAACCTTACTCACACGGCGAAACACAACGCAGTGGTTATTTCACGCCGATTTTCTGTGAGGCCGTGGTTTCACTCCGGTCGAGCCGACCCATTCGTGCCGAAGCATGGCTCTCCCACACTTAAAATTAAAATTTCCATTTCCAACCGTCATTCTTCGCGATAAAGTTGCAAATAAAATCACCATAAATGGCGTGCTTTCTCAGTATCCCACGGATACAATAAGGCCACGCCTTTGACAGGAAATATCACGGTGGCCTTGTAATTGGAGATCGGAGAATCACTCTATCCGACCGGACCATTAAAATCAAACGAAATATAAAAACACTTTCCCATTCTCCGCCGGGGCGCTTGCATAGAAAAAAAAAACTGAAGAATTTTGGCGAAAACTTATTTAAGGTTGGATTTTTTGCGAAGTCGACTAGAGAGAGGTTAATATTTGTGGAAAAAATCCCCTTGGATTATAGAAAAGAATGGCCCGAAGGTTTAAATTGAAACTATTTGTCATTTAAACCACGGTTGTCGTGTTTATAATTTGACAAGTGGTTTGTCAAGGGCTTGGAGAGGCAACTTCGCAACCATCAGTTTACTTAACGATGTTTACACTAAGAACGTGTGTCGCCTGGATAGTCAACCTATCTACATCCTTGTTGACTGGACATCTAGACTACATGAGCTGCTGTTTACATGTGAACATTAGCTCATGACGATACCTAAGTACGTGTGTCGCCTGGACAGTCAACCTCGCTACATCCTTGTTGACTGGACATCTACACTACATGAGCTGCTGTTTACATGTGAACATTAGCTCATGACGATACCTAAGTACGTGTGTCGCCTGGACAGTCAACCTCGCTACATCCTTGTTGACTGGACATCTACACTACATGAGCTGCTGTTTACATGTGAACATTAGCTCATGACGATACCTAAGTACGTGTGTCGCCTGGACAGTCAACCTCGCTACATCCTTGTTGACTGGACATCTACACTACTTGAGAGGATTGCATGTGATTATTAGCTCATGACGACAAGGAGGACACTTTAAATAATACATCTAACTTAACAAAGGTAAAGCTTTACTTGCAAAAGGGTCCAATTATCCAAATAATCATTGTTGAGTCCCAAAAATTATATTACTAAACGATCCCATGCTACTATACAAAGAATAAAACAAAAGAACATTTGAAAACAAAGAAATTGTATTCGAAATATAATACACAAACATAAATAATACTTTATTATCTCTAATCCTATTGTCTAAATAGATAACTGCATCATAAACAGACGGTGACAGCCTGAACTAAAATCGTCTTCGCCAAGCCTCACAAAAAGGTTGAAAGGTCGCAGATCATGGGAGCACTGCTGGTCGTCTTTGTCAAAGTGTCAAAATTTTGTCGTCCTGGGTGTAGTGGGACTAGTGTTAGACTCTTACTGACTAAAAACTATCCCGTTCCTTCTCCTGCTCGAGGCCGAGGCTGTGGAACATTATTGCGATGAACATCAGCCCTATTGGGTCCCCTCTGAGGTATTCTGTTAGGTCTTTAAGATGGAAGGCGCGAAACGCTACGCACCATACTGGGTTTAGTTCTGTTTCGGCTGTGAGCTATCCTTGCTCGCGATCCCCAGTGACATCCAGTGTGTCTCCTCCTGCGGCAGACTTTTTGTCTATTTATTCAACTATGATATTATCACACAGGTCATTTGCACGAAACTAAACGCCACTTTATCACACAAGTACTTGTTTTTATAATAACTATCGTGAGGCATACTAAATTAACTAAAAATCGCGGGTTACTCACGTGTATATATTGAGAAAAGCTCTACTAGTTTCGAACCACAGAGGGGTTCTTCCTCTGAGGAACCACAGAGGGGTTCTTCCTGTGGTTCGAAACTAGTAGAGCTTTTCTCAATATATACACGTGAGTAATCCGCGATTTTTAGATAATACAAGTACTTGTGCCCTTGGTATGTCAATCTCGTTTATTGCAACCATCTGTTGACTGGATAATCTCAACACTACATGAGCCAGTTACCCTTGGGCATTAGCCCATGAGGATACCTAATGTGTGATTGAACAAATCAATGTCATATCGTCAAAATCATCAGCCTATAGGTATTGCTGAGCAAATGCATTTTCTCTACACGGAAAAGGTTTGAGCATTAACCACCACGCTTGCTTAAGCTTGCGATTTCAAACTTATAATTACCTACAAATTATAAGTCCAGGTTTCCTCACTTCGTTTTCCTTAACCATATGTCAGTGGTGTTTAAATAATCATAGAAAGTACATATAACTCGGAAAAAGTCACATTGGTAGGTACTTGTCAGTCGTCGGGCGCCTTAACCTTCGGGCCACCACGACGCGACAAAGACATATCAACAATTTAAAGGTAAAGAAATTCAATCGTCAATTTCTGACTGCCGTCTGAACAGATTATGGTAGTTAAACAGTTCACCCTGCTTTTGTCTGAGCCTTTACCAACCCAACACTTGTCGAAAAACCCGAGAACAGACCCTTTGTTAAAAAAAAACTTTAAGTCAAACCTGGGTTCTGTAGTAAATCATTAGCCGTATTTTATGGTCGATAAATTAACACGAAACTTGTTCTAGAGATTTTAATAAAGATTTGAAATAAATAAGAAGCAGGTATTTACTGCAGAAAGATTTTTTATAAACATTAACTTTATTACATGGTATAAAACAAAGTCGCTTTCTCTGTCCCTATATCACTATGTATGCTTAAATCTTGAAAACTTCGCAACGAATTTTGATGTGATTAATAAATAGAGTGATTGAAGAGGAAGGTTTATATCTATCTATATCTATACTTATAATAAATCTGTAGAGAGGT